GACAAGGGGAAAAAATGAGAATCAAGACCTATTATGTAAAGGTACAGAATCCCAATGATGAATGTAACTGTATTGTATACCTAGATTGTACCAATAACCTCAATATGAAGAAAAAAAAAAGAAAACAAAATGCCATAAAACATCATAAGGGCTTGGCAGGCCGAAGAAAGCTCCGTGCTTTATGTTTGAAGGTTACCTGAGTATCTGTGTCTTTGACATGTAAAGAGATTGTTCAAATCAAAAACAAAACAGGATGGGCTTGGGGCCGGGGATTTAGCTCAGCGGTTTGGTGGCCTGCCTTGCAAGCGCAAAGACCCAATGCCTGCAAAACAAAAAAAACAAAAAAAAAAAAAAAAAAAAAAAAAAAAAAAAAAAAAAAAAAAAAAGGATGGGCGTGTTGGCATAGGCCTGTAATCCCAGCACTGGGGAGCCTGAGCCTGAGGCAGGAGGATCGCTGTGAGTTCGAGACCAGCCTGGGCTACATGGTGAGTTCCAGGTCAGTCTCAACGACACAGTGAGACCCTGTCTCAGAAAAGTGAAAAAAACAAATCAAGGTTAGAGACTAAGAAAGGACTAAGAAAGGCAGAGAGGAAGGATTCGGTCTCCAGCACTGCTGCGCTCTGGGGCCGGAGCCCAGCATTGCTTCTGTCTCCCGAGCAACTGAATACTGAGCCGCAGAAGGAAACCTGAGCAGGCGCGTGAGCTCCATCCACTCAGCGGGCCATCCTGGCCTGGCCCGAGTCCTGCCATCACTGCCCCGGCCTGCCCAGGGGATGGGGCTATGTGCTCGTTTGTGGGTGTCTGCGCCCACATCTCTGCGATCTGGAAGCCGTCTTTTCGGGCTCCCCTCACCCCCACTGTCACAGCCTCGGTGTTTTAGTCCCATGCTTCAGTTTCCCTCCCATCCCCTTTCTGACCAAGTCTCGCCCGCCAGGCCCTGACCAAGGCTGAGCCGCTTGGAGCCCCGGGGTGGTTTTGCCGAAGTTCTCATCCTGGGAACTTCGGGAACTGGGCAGTCCAGAGCCCTCGTCAGCAACCCCAACCTGGCTGCCCAGTGACCTCGCCCTGGACTTGGCTTCACCAGCCCTGTGTAACAGGGGAGCAGCTCCCCAGGGTCTCCCTGTAACCCACACTGTTCCCAGCCGCTCTCTCCTTGCTTTTATTTTAGGCGTCACTGGCCTTGAACTCACTACATAGCCCAGGCTGGCCCCAAACTCAAGGATTCTCCCGCCTCAGCCTCCCAAGGCTGGAATTGCAGGTATGTCCACCACGCCCGCCCCGCCCTGCTCTTCCCACCCCTCCTCCACCTCCAAAGGGCTCTGAACGCACCCTCCCCCACTCCTCCCAGCCAGCTCTGAGGCTCCTCCCATGAGGCCCGAAGCCCCGCCCCGAGTGCCCACGCACCCTTGCCCAGGGCCCTCTCCCACACTTGAGGCCCGAAGCCCCCGCAAGTGCGCCCCCATCCCCAGGGCCCCTCTGCCAGCGCCATCCTACCCTCTGCTTTCTCAGGCCTTCCTCTCCCCACCCCTACGGCCCAAACCCTGCAGGGGCCCCGCCCCGCCCCGCCTCCCCCACCCTGCACATCACGTGCTCCTGGGGGCTCCCGCTGCCACTTGGGTCCCTGGTTCTGGAAGGCTCAGTTCTCTGGCTCTGGCCCGCTCAGCCCTGGACCTGGAGACCAAGCGCAATATGGAAGAGATCCTACTGGACCTGGGAGGGCGGCCACGGTCCCCAACTCGGCAGCGGGGCAGAGGTAAGGGCTCCCTGTACCTCCCCGGCCGGTGACGCAGAGGGAACTGGGGTCCCATCGACCAGCTGGCCTGGCCCGGTTCTGCTCAGGCTCCGCATCAGCACTCTGGGAAGCTGAGGCAGGAGGCTCTGCCCAGACAACGTGGCAGTTTAATAAGACCTTGTCTCAGGAATCACAAGAGGGCTGGGCTGTAGCTCCTCGTGGGGGCTTGGGTGAATCCCCAGAGCCACGGGGACAAAAGAGACGGGCACACACGCGTGCGCTGGGGCGGCCTTGTGGGGATCGGGAGGGGGAGGAAGACGACCGCTCTGGCCTCTCCCACAGATCTCATCCAGTACGAAGTCACGGTGAACCGGCGGGACATAGAAGGTGAGCTCGCCTGCCTCCCTTTGTGGCCCAGCCTAACCTCGAACCCGCGGCGTTCTCCTGCCTCAGCCTCCCGAAGGCTGGGAGGACAGGCGTGCGCCCCGCGCTGGCTCTGGTTCTTGTCCTTGTGTACTTGAGCCCCGCCAGGCCCCCGTCCCCTGCGCACCTCCAGCTCTGCTCTGTGCTCCCTAGCGGTCTGCCTCTGCTGCGGAAGCCTCCAGGTGCACACGCGGCACCCCCTGTTCGAGGGAGGAATGTGCACCCCGTGCAAGGTAAGCCGGCCTGGTGGGGCCCCCAGCCTGGGCGGGGCTCCAGCGGCCTGTGTCTCCCCAGGACAGGTTCCTGGAGGCGCTGTTCGTGTACGACGAGGACGGATACCAGTCCTACTGCTCCATCTGCGCGGCAGGGAACATGCTGCTCATCTGCGAGAGCCCGGAGTGCACGCGGTGAGGAGTCTGGCCCGGGGTGTGGGGAGCTCGCCTGCAGTGTCTCCAGATCCCGCTGGGACAGGGCCCGGCCTGGCCCAACCACACCCTTCACAGCTCCGTGAAAATACTGCCTTTAAAGTTGGAGGGAAGCTGGTAGTGGCCCGGGTCGGGCTGGAACTTGCCATCTTCCTGCCTCGGCCTCCAGAGTTCCTTCCTGTCCACTCCAGGTGCTACTGCTTTGAGTGCGTGGACGCGCTGGTGGGCCCAGGGGCCTCGGACAAAGCGCATGGCACGCACAGCTGGGCCTGCTTCCTGTGCCTGCCCTCCCCGCGACACGGGCTGCTGCGGCGGCGGAGGAGGTGGAGGGAGCAGCTGAAAACCTTCCACGACCTGCAGGCGGTAAGGCGGCAGGGGTGGAGTCGGGGCCCTGCTGTGCAGCCGGGCTGGCCTCCAGCTCTGCCTCAGCCTCCCGGGTGCTGAGATCGCCGCTGTGCGCCCTGTGCCCTCGAGGCTCTCTTCTCTGCGGGCCTTGGCACTGCCTCGCTCGGAGCGGGGTCCTCAGGTGCTGTGTCACCCGGCACACACGGCACCGTCTCCTGGATGCGGTCCAGGTGCAGATTGGACCCGCGGCAGCCCTATGCGGTGTCTTTAGGGCATGTCGCACCTCTGGAGCTCTCCTTGGCCAGATGGGGCTCCCATGCTGCACAGAGACTTCACCGCAGATCGGTTTTGCTTTGTCTTGCTTTGAGAAAGGCGCTCGCTTTGTAGCCCAGGCTGGCCTTGAACTTGCAGCCATCCTCCTGCCTCAGCCTCCTGAGTGCTGGGGTGACCGGCCTGCGCCACCACACCGCTCTTTTCCCTTCATAGGGTAGTCCCCTCAAGATGTACAAAACGGTGCCCGTGTGGAAGAGAGAGCCGCTGCGTGTGCTGTCCCTGTTCGGGGACATCAGGCAAGGTAGGCCCAGGGACCTCCTGCAGCCCCTACAGAAAATGGGGAGGAGCCGGTGTGGGGTTTGGGGTGGGAAGTAGCCGGGGAGGGAAGGAGAGGCTCTGGGGACCTGGGAGCCCCATCACGGGGAGGGGAGGGGCCGCTCCTGGGCGAGCACTGGGCACGGAGTCCACAGCAAGGGCGTGGCCTCCCCCACCCCACCCCGCCGCGGGCAAAGTGCACACAGTGGCCGTGCCCCCTGCCGTCTCCCTGCAGAGCTGACCAGCCTGGGCTTTCTGGAATCTGGGTCTGAGGCGGGGAGGCTGCGGCACCTGGAGGACGTCACAAACGTGGTGCGGAGAGACGTGAGTGGCCAGCGTGGGGCCCAGGGGCATAGGGAGCGGCCGGGTGCAGCTGTGCGGGGCCTGGCCAGGCCTGTGCAGGCTCTAGGTCACCGCAGGGGTGCTCGGTGGCCGCTGCCCACAGGGGACGAGGCCCTCAGCACCCTCGGGAGGAAGGTGGGGTCTGGGCCTGGACAGCTGCCGGTATTGGTCAGCGTCCTCACCGTCTCTGCCGGGCCTTCCTCTGCAGCGGCTCCCCGCCGTACGGGTGTGGGCCATGTAGGGGTGTCTGGCAGGCGGGCAGTATCCCCCGTGCTGTCCCCCCAGCTGCTGGAGCCCCCCATGCCAGTGCTCCTATCTCCAAGGTGTCCTCCCGCCTCGGGACGCCCCCCTCCAATGCCCCCAACCCGGCCTGCCCCTGAGGGCCCAGTGGCTCTGCTCCTGCTCTGGGTTTCCTGGCTGGGTGGTCTGCGTGCCCTGGTGGATTCAGGCACAGCACGGGCAGTGCCCCCACGTGAAGACGCCCGCTGCCCATTGTGCCCACGTCCCGCAGGTGGAGAAATGGGGCCCCATCGACCTGGTGTTCGGCTCGACGCCTGCTCCGGGCCACACCCGTGGCTGCCCACCTGGTAAGCCCTGCAGAGCCACAGGCTCGGTCACAGGGCATCTCGTGCCCACTGTGCCACCTCTCCTCTGCCCACTGTGTACATAAAATAGTCCCGGCCAGCCGTCCCAACACGCACCCAGTGCATGGACACCGACGTAAGCAGGCGCCTGTGGGGCACGCCCACCGCCCCTGCTCTCCCTGGGGTCCCGTGGCCCAGCGTGGGTGCCACACACACCCTGCCGCAGCCCCGTGCACCGTGCCCAGCAGGGTGGTTCCTGTTCCAGTTCCACCGGCTGCTGCAGTACGCAAGGCCCCGGCCCAGCAACCCGAAGCCTTTCTTCTGGATGTTCGTGGACAACCTGCTGCTGACCAGCAATGACCAGGCTACCGCCACCCGCTTCCTCGAGGTGCTACTGAGGGGTCAGGTGGACAGCACGCGCGGGGGGCTCTGGAGGACCCTGGCCAGTGCTGCTGGCCTGAGGCTTCTGATTCCCACCGTTTCCTGGGAGGCCAGCCCACGCCACACTCCTGCACCCTTGGGCTGGGCCCCAGGGTTGCCACCTCCTCCAGTCCACCCACAGCTGGGCCCACGCTGCACACCACACCACAGCACGAGTCACACGTGCCCGCTTCAAACACACACACAGCCTCCTGCTGCCCACGCCCTGTTCGGGGTGAGGGGACGGTGGGTCCCCGAGGAGGACCCGGGGCCTCATTCAGCTGGGGCTGGGAGGTGGGGTCCTGTAGGTGCCGCGCTGGTCAGCTCTGTGCGGCTCAGAAGCAAACCAAGGGCAGGAAAGGGCTCATTCTCACTGGTCCACAGGCAGTCGGCGCTGTGGGGCGGGGTGTTGGCCATCAGGACAGGGACTCAGTCCGGAGGCAGGGTGGGGGCCTCGCTCCTCCCACTGCCTGGCCTGCCCTGCGTGCTCCTGTGCAGCCTGGCGGTGGAAGCCCCCAACTCCGCTCCAGTCCCCACTGCCTGCCGGGCCCTTGGGGTGAAGGTGGACGCCCCAGCTCACTGCTGCCCTCCCCTGCCCCACCTTCTGCGCATCAGGGCCCCTTCGGGTGCTGGTGTGTGTGTGTGTGTGTGTGTGTGTGTGTGTGGCCAGTGGACACACCCCGTTCTGCACCGTTCTCGCCCGGCTCTTCTCCTGCTGAGTGCTCTGTGCTGCCTGGCTTTGCTTTGTACCGTGGAGCACTGATTGCCTGCATTCCTGTGGGCCCCGCTACCTCACTGGGTCCCTTCTGTGGCAGTGCTTCTCGGGTGACCTCAGAAAGTGTTGTGCGTGTTTGGTCAGATGGCGGTCAGTGCGACAGTAACCGGTTTCCCTCGCCGCTGTGCCTCGGGCTCGGGAGGTGGCCGGCCCCGTGGGGGTTGGGTCACTGCAGTGGCAGGGTGCCCTCCTGCTCCTGGTCTGCACACCTCCAGGGTCCCCGCATTGGTGGTCTGGCGTGGGGGCTGCGGTCCTCGGTGCACTGTGCTCAGGGAGTTCCTGTTGACACCTGAGGCTTCGAACCTTTCATCAGCAGTAGCTGTCAGATTTAGTCAAGGTCTGTGCGGATGATTGGGCAAGTTCCCATTCAGGTCTGTTAACAGGATACAATATAGTAATAGATTCCACAGCAGCCATCCTGTATGCATGGGAAAATCCACGCACTGGGTGGCATCCTATCCCTTTTTGTTTTGTTTTTTTGGTTTTTTTTGAGACAGGGTCTCACTATGTAGTTGAGACTGACCTGGAACTCACTATGTAGCCCAGGCTGATCTTGAACTTAGAGCGATCCTCCTGCCTCAGCCTCCCGAGTGCTGGGATTACAGGCGTGTGCCACCAGGCCCCACTCCAGCCCTTTTTATTACTCTTATGTTTTTTTGAAACAGGGACTGGCTCAGTGACCAAGTTACCCAAACTGAGCTCAGACTTGAGATCCTCCTGCCTCAGCCTCCTAGGTGTGGGATTACAGGCGTGCACAGCTGTGTCTGCTGTCACTCTTTAATGCATCACTAAGCTCCGTGAACCGATTCCACTTAGGACTCCTTTTCGAGTTGCCAAGCCCAGTATGTTGTCGTGTTTCGTGGGCATCGTCACTTTTGGTTTACGTGCTGAGCTTGCTTTGCAAAAGGACGCGCAATGTGACGTAGTCTTGCAGGACCCTTGTAAGAGGCAGTGGGGGATGCGGCCGCAGGGCAGGCTGGTGGAGAGGGAAGCGGACGGAGTTTACGCACCTGGGCGGGGTGGGCTGAGGGCGAGGGCCCGCGTGGACACAGGCAGGGTTTACAGGAGATGGGCGGGCCTGGGGCACCCGGCATAGGTGAGAGCAGGAGCAGCGGGCAGGCAGGGAGCCGTCCTGCCCTCTGTGTGTGTGTGTGTGTGTGTGTGTGTGGCCTCAGCCCTTCCGCAGCCTCTCCCTGTCCTGTCTGCTCCGAGACGGCGCCGGCAGCCCTCGCTCCCCTGCAGCTCCACCACCTTCTCAGGAAGGGACCCTGGAGCTTTGCTCCTGCCCAGGGTCCGTCTTCCCGGGCTGTTCTCCAGGAACATCATCCACTCCTGTTTTAAATATCATCTTTACAAACCCGAGCAAACGGCCCCGTGGAGCCTTGCTTTCTTCCAAGGCTGTGGTTCCTCCTTAGGAAATCTCGACCCCTAAAGCCACTGCTGGCCCTGATCGTGGGCAGCTGGGGTGGGCGTGAGTCGTGCCCATCAGCGGAAGCTGCCCGTGGCACAGGTGCTCGAGGTCCTGCGCAGCCACACGTGGCCTCCCGGGGGCCTTTGGCTGGTGGGACAGGGCCACAACCGACAGGGATGCCCCTTCCCACAGACGGAGCCCGCCACCCTCCAGGACGTCCGCGGCCGGGTCCTGCATGGCGCCGTCCGTGTGTGGAGCAACATCCCAGCTGTGAAGAGGTACTGGGGTGCGGGGGCCCAGCCGGGCTGCGGGGTCCCTGGACACAGCCCAGGTGGCCACCTGGAGCTTGTGGGGCTTGCCTCAGCCCTGGACTGACAGGCTGCGTCCAGGTGACGGCGGGCTCCACATGGTCCTGCACAGACACACACACACACACGCACACGCACACTCACACTTGCGCTCTGGGAAGCCCAGCCGGGGCTGCGCTTTCCGAGTCCACTGTCCCAGACTGAGCCTCTGGAAAGTGCGGCCCTGTCCCCCATCAGGGCGCCCTCATGACACTGGGCCACTGCACAGTCCCCAGCCTGGGCCCGCCAGGTGTGCCAGGCCATCCTTCCGCCCAGGACTGCTGAGCTTCTCTGCACACCCCCTCCCCGTGCCGTAGCCATGGGTTGGAAGTGACCACGGGGCTGGCGTGGCCTGCATCCCCTACTGTCCACAGGGCACCTCCGGGGTCCAGCCGCCCCCAGGCCTCAGCGCTGCCCTGAGTGCCATGCTCCCACAGCTGCTCGCTCGGAACTCTGGGGCAGCTGAGGCCTAGGCCCTGGACCGCAAGCTGGGGTGCGGGCTTCGCAGGAGAGGAAGGAGGAACCATTTTGCCAAGGCCATGGGCAGCTGCCCATGTGACGCCACCTTCAGACACCACTGGAGTGGTCTGAGACAACCCCGGAGCTGCCCCAGAAAGGGGTGTGAGCAGAGAAAGGAGCACTGCATGTCGGGCCTCAAGGGAGCCAAGAAATGTCCCCCAACCAGTGGGGACCTGGCTGCACAGCAGGGGTGATGCTTACAGCCTACTCCCAAGGGGCCGTCCAGCCACAGGGCCTCTGGGAATGCTGAGACACCTGAGGCTCTGCTGACCACTGCCCCTGTGTCCTGCACTCCCTCCTCACTCTTTCCCTAGCTGCCCCCTGAGGCAGGCAAGAGGTGCGGAGGCCACTGATCCATGGTCCCAGAACCACCTGTCACCCCTAATCCCGGGGACTTTGGCCCGGCCCTGGTGCGTGGCCGAGATGTCCATGACGCTGTCCTCTCCTTGGTAGCAGGCACACGGCCCTGACCCCCGAGGAGGAAGTGGCCCTGCTGGCCCACATCACCCGGAGCACAGAGCTGGGCCCCCGTCCCCACACCGCGCTTGTGAAGAATTGCTTTCTCCCACTGAGGGAATATTTCTGTTTTTCTCAGAATTCACTTCCCCTCTGAAAGTGAGTCTGTCCTGTGAAAAAGGGGAGACTCTTCCTAGAACTAAGGCAGCTGTCCCCGTGTTGTCCTCTTCCCTCTGCAGATTCCTATTGTATCCCAGTGTTTGGCTTTGGGTCTTTCTGGGGGCTGCAGACCCACCCCAGGGCCCCACCCCCACTCCTCTGGAGACAGACGATGTGGTTATACTTCCTGGAGGGGTTTCTGTTCCTGTGGCATTAAAAATACACTTCTTTGAAGAGTGATCGTTGGCCATCGTGGTGTTCTGTGCCTTGGGGTGCAGTGGCGGACACATCCCTGGGTCCTTCACACAGCTGCTCCAGCTGAAGGCCAAGGCCCTTCGCCCGTCACCACCACACACAGACCCTAAACTGTCGCAGAGCACAGACGTCACCTTTAGCAAACAAAGCGAAGCCAGCTGAGGCAGATCTCACAAAGCTTCAAGGTGTGTGGCACTGGGGGTGAGGGAGGTTGCTTGCAAGAGCAGGATCCCCGGGCAACTCTTGGCAGTTCAGCTCCGCTAGAGAGCACAGGCCGGGCTGGCTTCTGGGCATGCCTGACAAGTCCCGTGGCATTCTTCCCCGGTGAGTCAGGAGCCACCCCAGGGCCTAGGGCTCTGTGTCCTGGGCACTGCACCAGGTCCTGGGATGCCCTGGGCCAGCGCTGGTGTCTGGAGGGTCTATAGAAGTCCCCTCGTGTGGGTGTGGAGGCAAGGATGTCCCAATATGGTTGAGAGGGGAAACAGTCTGGGTCATACAGGAGGCCTAGCTGTCACCAGCGTGTTCGAGAGCAGGAGGCAGACAGAGATGGACCACACCGAAGGGGCTCCCTTGTGGTCACAGCCCAGGGACACTAGGAGCTGGGGGAGCGGCCTCCCGCCTACAGCCCTCCATGAGGCAGTGCTTTCAGACTTGCGGCCCCTGGGACCTGAACAGGGAATACTGCTGTTGTGTTTAAGCCACCAAGTGTGTGGAATTTGGTGACAGCAGCCTGGAGGCCTCACACCCAGGCAGAGAGGAGACCAACTTCCCAGAGCAGGGATCCACCTGTGTGCAACCTAGTCTGCGCTGGCCTGCAGCAGAGGTACACACGGCCCAGGGGACCGAGGAGTGCGTGGGCCAGGGCAGGACACGGAGGGGCGTGGCCGAGGCGCAGTTGCTGGAAGGGGACAGGACCTTGGGAGTCTGGCTGTGTGCTCCTCTCTCTCTGAGCTGCATCCCGGGGTGCTGGCAGCCGCCGTGTGCCAGCTGAGAGTTCCACACTGCAGCTCACAGTCACCGTGCCACTGCCGCATGAGGAAGGCATGTGGCTGTCCCATTCCACAGGTGCAGGGCGGTGGCTGGGTCCAGCCTGGCCCTACCTTGTGTCTGGGATCGGCGTCCCTGCCCCACAGTAGCCCCCCACACGCCAGCCCCTGGGTGGGCTCAGGGCCACACCAGTCCCCAGCCAGACCTCCCTCAGATGGGGCCACTGACTGCCCAGTCCTCTGCTCGCCAGTGCCAGTCCCAATCGGGAGAGACCTACAGCTGCCAGCACTACCTCCCCTCCCAGGTGCCAGGCATGGTGCTGGGCCCCTGTCAGGTCAGGTGACTTCTGCCTGAGCTGCCCTGGTCCAGAGCAAATCCGCTGTCCTGTGGGCCACTCCCACACAGGGCCAGGACACCTCCCCCTCTCCCTCCACAGCCAGTGTTCGATCACCTCGCTCGCCCTGCATCTGCGTTCCTCTCCGTCTTCCTACACAGGAGCTCCTTTCTCACCTGGAATTCACCTTTTCACTGGGCCACTTCCCCTCTGATTCAGTAACGTTCACTTTCAAGAGATGACCTTTTCTTCTCCTTTTTTTAGGAGGGGAGGCGGCACTGGGAATTGAACCCAGAACCTTCACACTGAGTTACATCCCAAGTTTTGTCTTGTTTTTTAATTTTGAGACAAATCTCACTAAATCACTGAGTCTCCCAGGTTGAGCTGGCCTTGGGATCCTCCTGATTCAGCCTCCTAGAATGCTGGGACTCAGGTGTGCTCCACCTCGCCCACGGAGCTGGCAGTGTCTGCCCTTTGTGAAGCTTTTATCCGGACGACTCAGCTAGGCCCCAGCCTGCCAGGTGTGCATTAAATCTGTGCTGGGGGTTGCCCTCCCGAGTGGGATCGGGGTCCTCTGCCTGGCACCACAGGCCTTTTTGACCTGGCCAGAGCCCCCTTTGCAAGGTCAGCCTGGTGAGGGACTGAGACGCCTCTGCAACCTGGGGCCAGAGGCTGCAGCGGGCTGGTGGGGTGGGGAGGGAGAACTGAATCAGCAGAGGGTGTGTGTGTGTGTGTGTGTGTGTGTGTGTGTGTGTGTGTGTGTGTGACTGACTGGGCCTGGCCACAGCCTTTCCCAGAGTGGGTGCCAGGGAACCCCGCGGAGAAAGGAGCACAGCGCACCCAAGGGGAAGGATAAAGGGGTGGGGCGGGGGAGGGGAGGAGGGGCAGCTGCCCGCTTCTCGG